CTAAACAGGCATCAATTTAACTTAATCAGACTGTAATACTCAGCAGTCCTGGCTGCAACTGTCTACAGACCACCACATACCTGCCTCTAGGTCATTCACTCTCACTACTGAAAATGAACTAGCTCGTCGTTACTCATCAGGACACTACTTCTTGAATATATCTGGCGATTTCATATCCACTAGATGATCCTTTCAATATCCTGGCCTCTCAGTCTCCTGACTTCTTATTCTACAGTCATGTCCTATACCCCACCTCAGTCATACGCTCTCCTGAGTTACACTCTGACCTTAAGTTTACCATAATTGCATCCATGACAATTTTAAGCAGTCTGTTTTTCAAACACACCTTGTTTCTTTCCCTCTAGTACGTTAAATCTTCATCTAATTGGAAACTCTCATGCACCTCATGTGTTTTCTTTTCTCCTTTACCCAGTTTAGATGCCACAGTCCATTGTTATCACTGTCTACATAACTCTCTATTCTTGGCCTGCATTTTCTTAGTCCTACTCACCTGGGAAATCTGCAACTGTGGTTAAATCTCTCTGCCAACTCTGCCCATGCCCGTGCTTGCCTGACAAAACAGGCTAGAGGAAAATACACAAACGTGCTTTTGATATCAATGCCCTATAACAAAGCAGACCCTTGGTGTCCAACAATCCAACTAACTATACGTGATGCATCTCACTATGATGTTTCGGACAATCATAAACATATACAATGAGATTGGATTTGTCCTGTTAGATTATAATGGAGATAAAAAATTTCTATGTCCCAGTTACGTCACAGCTGTTGTAACATCATAGCACAAAGCATTACTCACGTGTTTGTGGTGATGCTGATGAAACAAACCTACTGCGCTGCTGGCTGTATAAATGTATAGTGCATTGAATTATGTAGAGTATATAATACTTGATAATGATAAACAACTTTTTTACTGGCTTATGTATTTACTATACTATGCTTTTTATCATCATTTAAGAGTACTCTTTCTACTTATAAAAATGTTTGCTGTAAAACACTGTTACACAGGCAGTGGCCTCATACATCTTGCCTTTACAACATACCTTGATTGCACCATTTTCTTGTATGTTTGATTTAATCTCATGTTACTTTGTACAGTAACAAGCTGTGCAGGCTTGCAGTCTAGGAAAATAGGCTATAACACATAGCCCGGGTATGTAGTGGGCTATACAATCTAGTTTAGTATAAGTGTACTCTGTGATGTCCACACAATGATCCCATCACCTAACAACGCATTCCTCAGAAGTTATCCCTGTGGTTAAGCAGCTCATAATGATAACTTCTAGTCCATTTCCCCCCACTTTCCTAGGAAATCGTTTCATAACTTATCCTTTCTCTTCAATCCTCCAATAACAGTTCCCATATCTTCACTTGTGAGGTGACAATTTTGCTTCCTATATTCTGAGAAGTATAAGCAAAGATAACTTCTACAAGCTCCTATCACTCACCATATGCATCTATATCTATACGCTCTATCTTCTCTTCTGCTACTATTGGAGAATTAGCTGTCAACGATTCTACCAAAGCTCACCTGTCTACTTGTGCTCTGGAGGACTGCATGTCTAGCCTACTCAAGGATATGGTAGAGCAGGCCTTACCTCTACCTCCAGCACTGTCAATTTCTACTGGATCCACTGGGATAATGTATCACAGAAATATGCTTCAATATCTCTTATCTTTAAAAATGTCTTCTTAGTAGCCACATTGCCTGTGGCTATTGTCCCATTTCTCTGCCACTTTTTATAGCATAACTGCTTGAAAGAAATAGCAACACTCATCTTCTCCAACTTTATCCTTGCAATTTATTTTGAACTCATCCCACCACTCCAGTGAGACTATTTTTCTTAGAGGACACCAATGTGCTCCATGTTGCTAAATCCAAGGCTCTAATGTCAGTCAACACTAGCTGGTTCTTCCTTATTGTTGCAACTGCTATGTGTTAGAATGGCCACAAGCTCAGTCCTCTTCTGAAGCAACCCCCAACTCCACAGGTGATCTCTTTCAGCTCCAAGACTGAATACATTACAGGTTGACAGATCACAAATTTAGTGCTCAGGCCTCTCCCCTGCACTCCAAATTTGTAAGTTCAATGGACAGTTTAACCTGTCTACTTGGCTATCTAATAGGCATTTCAAATCCCTGATCTTCATGCCATCTGCCCCCAAATTGCTCCTTCCACAATCTTTTACATGTCAGTAAAGTGCAGCTTGATTCTCTGACTTACTAATGCTAGAAAGTTGAGAAATATCTTAGACTCCTTTCTTTTCTTTCCATACCACCACCAATCCATCAACAAATACTGGTGTCTACTTTCAACATATACCTGGAACCTAACTACTTCTCAAATCCCCCACTGCTATCACCCTGGCTGGAAGTCACCATCAGTCCCATCCGTGTTATTCCACTACCCTAATGAGTCTCTCTGGCTCTTGTTCTCAACATAATAGCAGAGCCATCATTTTACTCCTCTGCTCAAAGTCTTCCAATGGAGAGAGCCACCCTTATTCCTCAATGACCAATATCTTTACAGTGGCCTATGACGCCCTGCATGATTCAGACTCCCACTATCTCTGACTGTATCTCCTACTGTTGTTTTCCTCAGGGCTCAACTCAGCCACACTGCTCATGGATATGCCAAACAAGTTTAGGACATGCATCTTTTCCCAAAACAGTTTTGTCCAGAACTGGCAAGTCTGGCTTCCTTTTAATCTCAGGTCTCTGCTCAAACATACCTTATTGGTAAGACCTTCCCTGACATTCTATACAGAGTATCACCCAATCACATCCCCCTTTTCCCTTGTCTCGGTTTATTTTTCCCCAAAGCACTTTTCACCATTTGACGTAGTATATATTTAATTTTATTGCTGTTGGATCCTGGATCTTCTTACTAGAATGTAGACTCTGTGAAGGCTATCTCCCCAGGGCTTAGCACACATTTAGGTGCTTTCTTCTTCTTGAACCTGTCTTCATCTGGCTTCTAGGGCACACTAGCTTTTTGTTTTCCTGTTATCCTCACTAGCTAGTCCTTTTTTATCTCCTTGCTGGAAATGAAAAGTGGTGAGAGCACAAAATCGATCTCAGGAGGATAAGCGGTCTTCTAAGCTAAACTGGACGGGGCCCCTGGCAGCAGGAAGGCCAGGGAGAAAGATACGTCAGAACGCAAGGGTAACCGGAACTCACTTCCTACGTGTGCAGATGGGACATGTGCAGGACGGCCAACATACACAAGTTTATTAGCCTTCTCCTACTGAAAAGGAAAACCACTTCCTAAAAGACAGAATTCTTAAATTTATTTTTTATTGCTTCAGCCAGTGGAAAATATAAAAATGAATTCACCATACAGTCATGGGAACTCTGAAACAACTTATCGTAATTTATTTTCTGAAGAGAATAGGTAGTCCTCAATTTTTCTGGCCAGGATAGTAGATCGAATTATAATAATAAGGGTAAAAATGAGCATTTCTCTGCCATAAAAATAAGGTTGGCTAAATTTAGCGAATAATACTGAAAAAATGCTCCTGATTAAAAATAAATAAATAAATAAATAGAAACAACAAAATAGCATTTCCCTCTAAATTTAGCCAACCTTGTAAGAAATGACTGAGAAATTGTCACAGAGTGTATGAGGTTAAAGAAAAATAACAACTAAACACAATCTGGAACCCTCCATTGTTCCAGTGGAACAGGGTGTGGTGGGGGGGAGACACTAGAGAAAAACTGATGAAATTTTTAAATAAAGACTATAATTTAGTTTAAAAGCAAACAAGCAAAGAAAACTTCCATTCAGTACGAGAACCTGGACCCAACCTCAGCACCTAGTGCACATTCTCTGCACAAGAAATTGCTCTACCTGGAAGTCCCACACCAATCAAGACACGCCTTCCAGGGCTGGGCGCCTTTCATTGTCAGAAGGTTCTTCCTTGTGTGGCTTCACCCTTGGCAACTCCTCCCAGTTTAGTTCTTCCTTCCCGAACCACACACACATGAAATCTAATTCCTCTTTTACTTGATCTCCACGTTTTATATTCTGACTCAAGTTTCTTTTTGAAGCTTGACACACCCAATTCTCTTTATGTTACACATCATGATTTTTACATCCTATTTATTCTTGCCACACAACTTTTAGAGTACTTCAGTTTGTCAACAGCCTTAAAATTAATGCTTAGAACTGAACACTGAAGTAGAGCCTATCGAATTATTTCTCTTCTTGTTTTAGACACTACACTTCTCTGCCTAAGATCATCCTCCCTTTTTCCGCAGCTACATCATATTTATCGTGCATCGTTTACTCACACTTGTGTTGTAGAATTCAGTGCCTTGACATTCAATCCTATGACCTTTTTATTTTCTTCCTCACAGAATCACACTGGCAAGTGGTAAAGTGAGGTACCTGTCCAGAGTATTCTTCTGTGAAGAGGAAGTCTCACTCATATGTAAGTTTTTTTCTGATAATTATAAATCTCAACTGACACAGCCACCTAGTCACATTCCCACACTTTAAAGCTGTCATGCACTTTTTCCCAGAAACCAGAGTCAGATCCGAGGATCCCAACAGCTCTTCCTGGGCTAGAGTCATCTATTATGCAAAGGCAACTCATTACTTCCTTACATGTGGGCATCATGTTTATTTTCTGATCTTTCACCCTCAACATCCTTCTGAAGTCAAAGCGTCAGTCATTTTTGTTAGGTGTAAAATGTACACAGCACGTGCACAGGGATGCTCCGAGGTCCATAGTATGCAAAATCGTGAACAAAAAGAGAACGCTTAATCCCTGCTGTTGCATAATGGGCCTTGATAAAAATATAATAGCTTGCAAATAAGGTTTCCCGGATTTGTTGCTTTGGGCACAGAGGGTTCCTAATCAAGAATGGGATGCCGGCAACACTTCCGTCACCTCACACAACCTCTAAGACGAAAACCGAGGGAGGAAGATCCCCCAGCACGGACCGCGCGGACCGGGTTTCCCGGAACCCCTCACCTCTCTTGTCCATGAGCCACATAAACGCGAAGCAGGGCAGGAAACCTATGGGCCCCCACAGCACGAGCAGCGCGATGTCCCAGCTGGAGAAGCCGTAGGCCTGGCGCGCCGAGTTCTGGATGGGGCCCCAGGTGTTCCAGACCAGGCCCTGCGCGAACCCCAGCAGCGAGAAGAGCAGAAGCACCAGCCACCGGCGCCCGTACACCCGCCCGAGACCCGGGATCGCCACGGGCTGTGCTGCCGCCGCCGCCGCTGCCGCTGCCGCCTCCCGGCTTCTCCAGACAGTCCCCGGTGCAGGGCCTAGCCCGGGCCCCAGCAGCGGCTGCCGTTCCTCCTCGCTGCTCCAGCCGGAGCCCATGGCGACGCGCGGCCCGCCGGGCCGTGCCCAATGCGGTCCGGGTGGCCGCCGAGGAGCTCCGCGCTGATGCTGCGAGAGGCGGGAGGAGGTGGAGACGGAGGCTGCTTCCAATGCCCTCCGCCTCGGGGGGCCGCGCCTGGTGCGCCTGCGCCGGTGAGCCGGGACGACTGACGGGCGCAGCAGCTGGAGAAGGCTGGGGTGCAGGGGTGGGATGACCCCTCGGGGGGGTGAGAGGCGGAGTGGACCCGGCGTCCCAGAGGAAGGACGAGGAGGAATCGGAAAGGCAGGAAGGAGCGCGGCCGAACCGGGGGGAAAGAGAACTCCCGGAGAGACTGTATTAGAGGAGGTTGGGCCAGGAACCCGGGTTGCTTGAGGAAGTGTCCAAGTTGTACATCATGTGCCTAATAAACAACTCGGTGACCTCTGGTCACTTAAGCTAATGCTTGCTTCTATATTGGATTACCCTTTTTTTCCTTGGGTTTGCAACTTCAGAAATTATAGGGAAAGGTAGCATGAGGTGGAGGCCTAGTACAGACCAAGATGTTGCCACTTGAAAATCCTTTTGTCTTTATGTACAGTAAGTACTGCCTAGTTTTACCAGCTTTTTGTATTACATACCCAGTATAATAAACTAGCCAGCTTTATTCATATATAAGAGCTATAGGAATGTTTCTATTTTCTCGGGTCATTAATAGGCGATCAATAAAGGACTGTGTTCATTAAAACTGGAAGGTTTGACCCCAAATGACTTAGATCCATATCCTTACGATTTTGACGCGACGGAGAGTAAACGAGAAAAGTGGGGGTTGTCGATCTCTTGATCAAGATGCCAGTTGTTTATTTTGACCTACAAATCCAGAAGTCTGACAGCTGTCGGATAGTGCCCTTGAACACAAGCAATTTGGCATGTGTGGGTGGGAAGATGAGTCGCAGGGAACACAATAAAAGGACATGTGATCTAGTTTCATACTCCCCAGCAGCTACTAAAACAAATGGAGTCATGTTGCTGTCAGAAGAGCAAAAGAGGTGGGAAGAGAACGGAAAAGCGTGAAAACCCCTACTGCGCAAGGCTGGTAGCGGTAAACGAACCGCACCACATTCCACCGCTCCCGGCCCCGGCCCCTCCCCCTGCCCCCAAAACCAAACAGCCCCTAAAGCTGCAATACAATTAAGCAGACGAAAGCGCCGAGGCGAAAAGGATGGGCCTGACTAGAAAACGAAAAGAAGCACAAACGAAGCCAAGAAAACAATATTGAAAGGATAAAGTCTGGGTAAGGTAAAACAAGCCACAACTGACACCATGAAGTTACATAACAACAAAGGCGGGATAAAAACAAACCTGCGTAGCCCCGCCCCACGCCCATCACGTGACTTTCACGTGAGCAGCGCTTCCGGAAAAGCCTGGTGGCAGGTTCTGCGCTGCCTCTGGGGGGCGGTTTGCGCACAGGAGTCTTGCCCCTACTGGGGTCCGGGTCGCGCTCCGCTCTACTTTTGGGTTTCGGGCGGCCTGCAGTGGTGCTCGCCATGGCGGCAGGGCGGGGGACGACCGCTGATACGGGCCCTGCGGATAGAATTGGAGAGGAGGAAGGTAGGTGCCAATTGACTCTCTTGGCACCTCTCATGTGGCCGTTTGGTCTAGTGGCACTGCGTTGAGCTGTAAGGAAAACTATTTGTAGCGAACGTGGCTTTTCTCAGGTTGAGGCATCCAGATTTTTTATCCTCACCCAGGCCCTGCCTGCATCCCCGGATCCTACCGGGGGTGGTGTACGCAAGGCGGGGTTTTGAATGCTACGGTGGATTAAAATTAAATTTGTGAAATTGCAGCCCACCCTTGAGGTACATGCAGGTATCTGGGATCTTTGTGAACAGGGATTATGAGCTTTGTTTGATTTCGGTGGAATCCTGCTATACAGAACGGTTGGGGTTTGTAAGCTCCTGAGACTTGAGATCCGTGTTAGCAATTACTGGAAGACTGCACCGTTCCTGGTACCGCTCTGGGGACTGCCACAGGACCCAGCGGTCGTTTATAATAATGTTTTTCCCCAGTCGAGTAAAGAGATACAAAAGGAAAAAGAATGACTAATATAAGCGTGACGTAAATACTATTAGAAGTGCACCCTGGGTGAGGTCTGTCACTGGGAGGAGAGATCCCAGTAGGGAAAAAAAAGCTTCAAGGTGCGAATAGTTGGAGGTGGGCCTTCATGATTGGATGAGGTAGTGAGAAACTCAGGTGGTAGTAATGGGGAGGCGTGGGAAACAGCAGGAAAACACAGGATGGACATGACTGGAGATCAGTCATGTTTGCCTAGAGGGGGAGATGACCGTTCCAAAGAGAAGAAACGAATTATAACTTTCTATCTGACCACAGTCTCCTGCTTTTATAAGGAGGAGACTCAGATGCTTGTGTACCTTAAGGAGACAGTTTTCGAACTTCATCTATACCTCCAGGTCATTGATGCTTCCTTTTTTGCTCATCTGTATCTCCTAATTCAGTTCAGAGTTCATGTCATGGTTTATCATTATGATCTCTCCCTTGAAAATACACTGTCTCTTGCCCCCCCCCCCCCCGCCTTTTATTCTTCTGGCAAAACCCATACTCTAGATGAACCCAATTTTTTGCCCTCTTTGCACCTCCACCCATACAGATGAATTTTGCTGGGAAAAGGCCTGGAAAAACTGATGATACTATAAGATGAAAGTGGTCACCTTCTGGAATGTTCACTCAGCAGTGGCCTGAGATCCTTTCGATCATCTGTTTCTGTGTCAGCCTACTTGTACGCTCTTTTATCTCTTATTTTCAGCTGATGACTTCTTTGTAAATCAGGTCAATTCTGCATCTAATCCACCACCTTTACCTCCTTCACTATCAGATCCTTGTCCAGATCATCCACATTTCTCACCAAAATTGCTACTATATCTTCAGGTCATGTGCCCTGTGTCCCAACTGGTACACCTCTAAACCCCTCTCTGTTTGGGAGCAAAAAGCGACACTTCCTTACTTAAAATTCTTCAGTGAACGTAGAATAAAATCCAGATTCCTAACCATGGCCTACCTAAATCTTGGATGTGGGCTCTGCTCTTGTCTCCAGGAACATGTCAGTCACCCCCTTCCTCTTAGCTGCTTTTCACATGGCTGGTTCATTGATCTTCAGGTTTCAGAGTATGTCACCACCTGAGACCTTATCAGAACAACCTATTTGAAACACTCTTTGTAGTTTAAATGGCCTCTAACCCTAAATGTTCTATGATACACCATGCTACTTTTATTTTACTTATCACAGTCTGTAATTACTTGTTTATTATTGTTCTTCCATTAGACCTTATGTACTTGGGCGGTAGGACCTGTATCTGCTTTTGTTCACCTCAAGCAGCAAGTACAGTGCCAGGCATGATGGACATTTAATACATATTTGTGGAGGGAATGAATAAGGGCACCCTGTACCAAGTCCAGAGGCAGGAGGAGAGAGAGCTTGGCTTGTTCCAGGAACTGAAAGGAGTTGGTTTGAGCAGTGGTGAGAGAAGAAGAGGGATCCTGAAGGGCACCTTATACCAATTTAAGAAATCTCGACTTTATGACCATGGGAAGCCTTTGAAAAGCCTGGCGGTGGGGGGACAAGTAACATGATGATCACATTTAGTTTTAGGAAGGTCACTCTGGCTGAAGGGTAAACCATAGATCCAAGGGAGAAAGACTAAAGGACAAAGTACTTAATCCCCATTAGTTTCAGTTTTCTTCTCTGTAAAATGCATGATTATTGTGAAAGTTTAAAGATACTTATAGATCATCTGCCATAGTATCTGGCAGGAATTGTGTATTTAAGAATGGTAACCATTTTTATTATTAATAGAAGAAGCTGGCGGCATTGGTGACTGACTGATGTTGAAACTGAGGGAAAAGAAATTAGGGATATCTGAAAATGTCCAGACTGAGAAACGACGTGTAAATTAGGAACCTGAAGAAAAGGGGAGGTGGCCGGGACAGCACTGTTGAATTTTTATGTGGATGTGTAGAGTTTAGTTTGGAAGGGTGCTTCCGAAGATGTCAAATGTGCAGCAGGGGAAGATAAGCTTTTTATTTTTTATGGTATTCACATACCATAAGTTCATCCTTTCAAAGTGTGCAGTTTACTGGTTTTTACTATTTTCATAAAGTTGTGCAGCCATCACTACTATAATTCCAGAACATTTTCATCACGCCCAAAAGAAATCTGGCACCCATTAGCAGTTGCTCACCATTCACCTCTCTCTCCAGCTCTTGGCGGTCACTAACCTACTCTGGGTCTCTACGAATTTGCCTATTCTGGACATTTCATGAAAATGGAATCACATAACACAAGGCCTTTTGTGTCTGGCTTCTTTCCAATAGTGTAATGTTTTTAAGGGTCACCCGTGTTGTAGCATGTACAAGTATACTTCATTCCTTTTTCTGATTGGATAATATTCCGTACATAGTTTGGATGTACCGCATTTTGTTTATCCATTCATCACTTGATGGACACTTAGGTTTTCACTTTTGGGCTATTAGGGCTAATACTGCTGTGAACAAGTATATGCAAGTTTTTGTATGAGTGTATAGTTTCAGTTCTCTTGTCCGTATGTCTAAGAGTGGAACTGCTTGCTGGGTCATATTTAGCTTTTTGAGGAAATTGGTGATTCTTGATCTGGAAGTCCTAAGGAGGGGGGAAAAAGTGATCAATTCAGTTTCATCCCTGGTAAAAATGTACTATTCTGGTGAGTGATGGCAATAATGGGGTGGGAGGGCATACATGTGTGAGTGGAGGGGATGTGTGTGAAATCTCGATACCTTCCTTGTAATTTTGTTGTAAACCTAAAACTGATCTAGGAAATAGCCCTAAACAAACAAGTATGAAACATTTTGTTAAGAGTCAACTTAGATTCTGAGTGTGAGATGTTACTTCCAGGATCACACATTGGTTAAAGCATTTCAGTGAAATAAAAATTGTAATTCTTTAAATCTGACTCTTTCAGATTTCAGTTGGGCTCTCATAGTTTTAGTTATAGCTAGGTTCATAGCTCTGTGAAGAGAAGGATGTGTTCTTCCTAACTGCTCCTTCAGTCCTGCTCAGGGAGGTATCTCATCACAGGGTTGTGCAGACTTGAGTCTAGTGTGTGGCTGACACTCCCATACAACTAGATTTACTCTTTGGTAGTGATGCCATACTGTCTGTGTCATTCTTGTTCTCATTTTTTAAAAAAGGTCAGGGGAGGCCCAGGAATTTAAAGAAAAACAAAAATCTGTGTGATGTCAAAGAGTAAAAAATTCCCATGCTAGAGCACATGTGTAATTCATATGTAGCTAAAATATTTCACACTTGATAATGATGATGAATAGTAGGGAAAAATAATACTACTGAATATTTTTTAATTGTGGTA